GGCCGTTGTTTAATAGGGAGGGCCGGCAGTGGTGTGGATTGTCCTGGTGATGCTTTCATCTCATTCCTCGCTGCTGGAAAGAGCAGGCTAAAATTAGCCTCTGTGCAGCTGTGCACAGGTAGTCGGCCACTTGATGGAAAAGATGAGTCTGCCAGTGTTTACACGACAGCTTGAGCAGACACTGCTGTGCTGACAGCTGCTTTTCTGCACTCCAGATTGGAAAGAATCTGCCTGGAGACATTCCAGCCTCTGCATGGCTGCGTGGCTAGCGGGCCAAACTTATGCTTAGGGGCTGCCCAACCTTCGCCAAAAACTGATGATGATTTTGCTTCAGTGTCACCAGCTCTTTCTCGGGGGGGGGGGGGGGCTGGCTTGGGCTGCTGGATTCGGGTGGGGACATGGACAGGGCCGCAGAAAGGACTCCACATTCTGCTCACAAAATGCCCTCTCCAGATTGAGAATGCTGTGCCAAAACCACAAAAAATGCATAATGCTTATTATGTGCACATTCATCTAGTTTGCACCACTGAAACATATGCTGGTGGTTTTTTGCTCAGCGAACATTTGGCAAAGGCTGTGACTGGCAGAAGCAGCACAGGAGAAGAGGCAGGTGTTCAATAAAGTCAGGGAACACAGAGTACGGCTGTGTACACATGACATTTTATTCTAGACTCAATGGAGACTTGGTTTTTTTCCTACATAGTACACACACAATCTAGACCTCCTGCAATTTTTCTTCTTTTTTTTTGAAAAAGCGCTTCTCAAAAGACTGGGTTCATTCCAAAACGAAAAGCTCACTGCATATTAATTCTACATCATCCCACAGTGTGTCGAGATATAGGCAGTCCCAGCAATGTATACACACCTGCCCAATGACAGGTGAGGAAGAATGTAGGGAAGAAAAATGTGGATAATATAACCAAGGAGTGGGTTTTCAAATGTGTATAAAATAACCACAACCACCTTTAATAATAATAATAATAATAATAATAATAATAATAATAATAAATAATATTTATTTACGGTATACCCTGCCCTCCTCAGCCAAGACTGGGCTCAGGGCGGCTAACACCAAATATAAAAACAATTGATTGAAATACAATTGAAAAACATTAAAATGCAGCCTCATTTCAGTGGAAACTCAATCAAAAACTTTTTGGGGGATAAAAACATCCAGTCTTCACCAAGGCTAACTATCCAGACTGGTCTTACATGGGCCAGAAAAAAGCCAGGGAAGTTCCCAAATAGGAGTTCCAACACAAAAGGAGCAAGGAAAAAAATAAAGAGGGGGAGGGAATCAAATTGATTCCAAGCCAAAGGCCAGGCCGAACAACTCTGTCTTACAGGCCCTGCGGAAAGAAATCAGTTCCTGCAGGGCCCTGGTGTCATGAGACAGAGCGTTCCACCAGGCCGGAGCCAGTGTTGAAAAGGCCCCGGCTCTGGTTGAGGCTAATCTGACTTCCTTAGGGCCCAGGACCTCTAGGGATGGCAAGATGACCTTTGTGGATGGCAATATCTGGAACCAGTTTACGTTGCAAGCAGCATGTTGAGGATGAGCATGAACAATTCAAGACAAAGAAAATTTGATTTTTTGTGCCACAAATGGGTTAGAACCATAAAATCATTCATAGAATTGCAAAGTCAGAAGGGACCCCAAGGGTCATCTAGTTCAACCCTCTGTAATGCCGAAATCTCAGCTAAAGGATCCATGACAGATGGCCATCCAAGCTCTGCTTATAAACCTCCAAGGAAGGAGAGTCCACAACCTCCCAAGGGAGACTTTTCACAGCTCTTACTGTCAGCTTGTCTCTACCCTAGACCTGTAAACCATTTCCCCAAACTGTTCCTCTGCTGTTATACATCATCCTAACCTTAGAATGGTGAGAGTCTCCAGGAGTTCCGAGCGCTTGCCCAGGGTTCAGTTTCCTTGGAATAAAGGTCAGGAGAGACCATTGTATCTTTAGGATAAATGGTTTTATTTACACATGCATACAACCTGAGCAGAATGGCGGGGCTCACAGCATTAACACCTCAACAGATCTCGCTTCTCCATTCAGTTTCCAGGACAGCCCCGAACTCCACCACAGAGCAAGACACGGTTTTTTTTAATATCAAGGATATGGTGTGTGGCACGGTTGTCAGAAATATTTGCCATCATCACCAGACCCTGTTTTCCAGGAACAGTCCCAGATTTACAGAAGCTGTCCCGGTTTCTGATTTGATCCCAGAAAGTCCCGCTTTTCCTAAGGATATCCCCGTTTTCATCGGAGAAACGTTGAAGGGTATAGAGTTATGTGACCCTGCCAAGCCAAGGAGATAAGTAACTAAACAGTCATACCTCGGGTTGAAGTTGCTTCAGGTTGTGCTCCATGGCGACCCGGAAGTAACAGAACGCGTTACTTCCGGGTTTCACCGTTTGCACATGCGCAGGCAGTCAAAATGACGTCACACGCATGTGCGGAAGCGGCGAATTGCGACCCACGCATGCGCAGATGCGCAGACACGGGTTGTGTTTCCTTCAGGATGCGAACGGGGCTCCGGAACGGATCCCGTTTGTATCCAGAGGTACCACTGTGCAACCTTTAAAAGGCATAGGGAATTTTTTTAAAAAAAAATGTTTAATGTTTCGTTACGTTTTTCTATATGTTGAAAGCTGCCCAGAGTGGCTGGGGCAACCCAGTGAGATGTGCGGGGTATAAATAATAAAATTATTGTGATGATGCTGGAATCGGACGTCCCTATTTTTATCGGAGAAAAGTTGGGAGGGTATGCATTGCCGCTGCTTTATATTATTTGGCAAGAGCTGTGCCCTGCCTGGCACTGAAAACAAAGGTTGGGGGCCGGGCCTGGCGAACTCTGGTTCAAATTAAGCTCCTCACTAATGAGAGGACGGGCAACCGAGTGGCGTCTTTGCTGCGAAGCACGCTCCTTCCTGGATTTTGGCCCAGTGAAGGGTTTGAGAGGAGGAAAGGTCAACTATTTATAGAGAGGGGGCTCCAGCCTGGCACGGGGCTTACTTAACGCAGTGTGTGACTCACTCACCCAGAACAACAACACTGAAGGGACCTTATCTGAGTCTAAGATAAACAATGGCATTTGCTGGGGGAATTCAGGGCCTCATTCCCCTCGCAAGAGGAAGTCGCCGTTTTTAGGTTCTCCTCGGCCAGCCTCGTGTTTTCTGCCAGGCTGGGGAGAAAATGAAGCCATCCCTCAAACCTTCCTGAGGTACCCGAGGACAGAGCCGGCAAAAGTCCCGTGCCTCTCAAGTGGGAAGGACACCCAGGGGTGGACACAAGTCACGCTCATGCTGAGAAGGGGTTGCAACAGGCAGCTTCCTTCATCTCTTAAATTACGGGCAGTGTTTTCCCGGCTAGGCCACAGCGAGGTACAGCACGTAATAAGTCCCTTGGGTCAGGAGCTTATGCGTCCCCACCCGACTCCAACGTGTCTCTTTGGCTCGCTCCCAAGGGACTGTACTGTCGCTTGTCCTCCTAACCTTGCCAGGAGCATCCCATCTGCTTAGAGCAGAGGGGTGGGGGTTTTTCTGGACCTGTCAGAGATGGTGTGGCCATCTTGGGCTTAATTCCCTGGCTATTGAATGGGAAAGGAGAAAGCTTGTTCTCCTCTTCCTATCTTTTTTTTAAAAAGGGATGTGCGTTTGTGAGTACGTAAAAAAGGTAACGGTAAAGGATTCCTTGATGGTTAAGTCCAGTCAAACTTGACTATGGAGTTGTGGCGCTGATCTCACTTTCAAGCCGAGGGAGCTGGAGTTTGTCCGCAGACAGCTTTCTGGGTCATATGGCTAGCATGACTAAACCGCTTCTGGTGCAACAGGACACTGAGACGGAAACCAGAGCACATGGAAACGCGGGTGGCGCTGTGGTCTAAACCAGTGAGCTTCTTGGGCTTGCTGATTGGAAAGTCGGCGGTTCAAATCCATGTGACGGGGTGAGCTTCCATTGCTCTGCCCCAGCTCCTGCCAACCTAGCAGTTCAAAAGCACACCAGTTCGGGTAGATAAATACCGTATTTTTTTTGCTCTATAAGACGCACTTTCCCCCTCCTAAAATGTAAGGGGAAATGTGTGTGCGTCTTATGGAGCGAATGCAGGCTGCGCAGCGTTCCCTCTCGCTGTTCTAGCTTCTGCCTTCATCCGCTGCCCTGTGGAGGCTTCGCACGGCTATCCCTGGCTTTTGCGGGAGGTGGGGGAAGGGACAGAGCACATGGCTCCCTTTAAAGAGTGTGCGGCTCTTGCGGGAGGTGAGGGGAAAGCCAGGAGGCTTGCTTTCACTGAAGCCAGGAGGGCAAGAGGGATCGGTGCGCACCAATCCTGCTTGCTCTCCTGGCTTCAGGGATAGCCTCAAAGCCTCCTGAGCGAAGATGGAGGAGTGCTCCCTCTTCGTTCAGGAGGCTTTGCGTTTCTTTCTTATTTATTGTTTTCCTCCCCTAAAAACTAGGTGCGTCTTATGGTCCGGTGCGTCTAATGGAGCGAAAAATACGGTAGGTATCACTGCGGCGGGAAAGTAAAGGGTGTTTCCGTGCACTCTGGCTTCTGTCACGGTGTTTCATTGCACCAGAAGCAGTTTAGTCATGCTGGCCACATGACCTGGAAATCTGCCTGTGGACAAACGCCGGAAAGTGAGATGAGCGCCACAACCCCATAGTTGCCTTTGACTGAACTTAACCATTCAGGGGTTCTTTACCTTTACCTGTGAGTAGGTAGGTATAGGGGACAAGCCTGTCTGAAAACCAACCACACACTAACCTGGAAACTTGCCCCTTATTCCTGGATGTGGGGAGGCGGGGCCATGCTTGCCAGTACTCCATAGTAAAGGAACTCTGCACATGTTCAGAGACACTTTCTACTATGCCATACATTCTAGGGCCAAAGCCTACCAGCTTGAGCCTGGCAGGGTAGGGCACTACATTATTTGCAGGGCTACTTTGTTATTTTTTAATGAGACTTCTGAGATGGCTTAGGGCAGAGAGGCGCCTAGAATTAAGGAACACACTTTCAGCCCAGGACTTAGTTTTCACAAACAGAACTCGGCTCACAATCCTGTCGTACAAAAATCCCCATCTCCACCACCACCACTCAAAAAACGTTTCTTCATCTTAGTAGCCTAATTTAGGAAGAATTGTTGTTGTTAAACAATTGGGAGTTGGGAACCCTTGGTGATCTACTGCAAAGTGCCCAGAGATCTCAATCTGGCTTCTGCCGACTCCTGCTCTAACGGACCAGCCTTCACTGTAAACATTTGCAGATGTGTGCAGGTAAGGCGTGGAAAACAACAGGGCAAGCAAGACTAGACTTATCCCAAGACAAAATCAGTTCAGACCCCAGAGGCCAACACCCGCATCCCTGCCCAGGTCTCTAGCACGCATCTTTCCAAGCTTGTGTATCCAGATTCGAAAAAGATAGGCTATTTCTCCCAGAAAAAATACTCCCTTTTTACAAAAAAATTATTACAATAGCCACTTTCCAATCCTCAGCTGTGGAGGCTAATCTTAAAGAGGCAATTTTCACATTTGAGCTGTTTTAAGAACTCTCAGGTGGATAACATCTGAACCCAGCAATTTGTTTGTTATCATTTGTCAATAAGGCCTAGAACTTTGTCTCTTGTCACAACTGTTTGTCTCAGTTCCCTTGCCTGAGACAGTTAGTTCAGGCCCTGGGTGGGTCTGCCTGAGGTGGCCCATCGCATTTCGCCACGTGAGGCAAAACGGGAATTGCCACCTCCTGTCCACCACGGCGCCCCAGTTCTCGCTGAACTCGGCTGGAGCCAGGGTGCTCCTCAAAGCGCTGCCGCTCAGCTCCTCTGCCCAGGGAAGAGGAATGAGTGGCAACGCTGGACCCCAAAATGCCCCCCTCTTGGTGGTGTAAATGGGTGTGCAGAGTGTCACCTCTTGCAGTGGGTAGGCCGTCTCTGGGTCCTGCCCTCAGGGCCGGATTTAGGTTTGATGAGGCCCTAAGCTACTGAAGGTAATGGGGCCCTTTATATTTTCAGCTGTCCTTTGTCAACAACAAATTGCTGTTTTTGTGTGTTGAATATATGCTATATGGTAACTTATGGACCTAATAGGTATCTAAAGCCGTTTGCACATGTTGCCATGCAACCAGTTCATGCAGAATGTAGGCACCCTATATAAAGAAATGAGCAAACCAGTGATATTTTAGGGAGCAGGCTAGCAGGCGGGGCCCATGACTTACATCCTAGGAGCCTACACAACATAAAACACTGTTGCTGTATGTAGGCTTTAGTTTATTTGTTTTTTTTTTATCTTATATTTTGGGAATATACATCCAGTTCTGTTTTCCTTTAATTTTTTTGGGGGGGCACCAAGAGAGTAGGGCCCTAAGGCATAGCTTGTTTAGCTTATATGTAAATCCGGCACTGCCTGCCCTTATTTGTTTGTTTGTTTGTTTTCCATACTGCCCTGCACCCGGGCCTCACAGGGCAGTTTACAGTATAAAAACTCAACAATACGTACCATAGTAACAAACCAAAGCCAACAACATCTTCTGCAGTCTCTGCTACGATGCAGCTGCACTTGGAATACTGTTTACAGTTCTGGTTGTTGCACCTCAGAAAAGCATATCCAAGAGCTAGGGGAAAGGTTCAGATAGGATGTTGCTAGGAAAAGTTCAGAAAAGGGCAAACGGATAATATTAAGGGGTAGCTATGTTAGTCTTTTGCAGCGGCAGAAACCTCAGTCTGATGGCATCCTGAAGACCAACAAATTAATCGCAGCCTAAGCTTTTAATGGACCCGAGCCCAGTTTGTCAGATGTGAAATCTTAGCCGGCAGGTATACAACAGAGAAAATTGTAATGTGGGAGATGAATGGCAATGAGATGCAAAAATTACAGTCAGTGATAGAGCTCAAATGTATATTAAACAGACATAACTTTTACAGCAGCAGACTGCTGATAATTTACTCAGCATTGATGATGATGATGATGATGATGATAATTTATTATTTGTAACCCACCCATCTGGCTGGGTTTCCTCAGCCTCTCTGGGCAGCTTCCAACAAAGATTAAAAATACATTAAAATGATTTATTATTATTATACCTCTAGAGAACCATTAAAAAAACCAGTCATAGATAGTGCAGATATCCTGGCATTGATAAACAAATGAACACATGTAGCGCGATTTTTACTTTTTTAAAATCTCTCTTGAACCCACAAGCAATGGTACTGAACTGCTTCATGAATTGTAATCCACCTGTTTCATCTTGTACAGTGGTACCTTGGGTTAAGAACTTAATTCGTTCTGGAGGCCCGTTCTTAACCTGAAACTGTTCTTTACCTGAGGTACCATTTTAGCTAATGGGGCCTCCCGCTGCCACAGCCGCGCGATTTCTGTTCTTATCCTGAAGCAAAGTTCTTAACCTGAAGCACTATTTCTGGGTTAGCGGAGTCTGTAACCTGAAGCGTCTGTAACCCAAGGTACCACTGAATTCTTTTATGTCCCTTTGATCCTTTATTCATGGGGCTGGAGCAACTCTCCTACGAGGAAAGGCTACGTCATTTGAGGGGTTTTTAGTCAAGGGGGCATGTAGAGACGGAGCTTTCTGACGTGAACTCGCCTCTCCCATACAGTCGTTGGCATGTCTGGGAAATAGTACAACCTTGTCTGAACACTAGAAATTTGTTTTCAAGCACTTTGCTTAGTCATAGTACCAGTAAAGTGGGATGTAATGTTTTGCATCGGTGCTGGGCAAGGTCAAAAGGGTATCTGAAAGGATCTTCCGTGATCTAGCAAAACAAGTCAAAGATGCAACTGAAAGCCGATAAAATCAATAGGAATTTCACCATTGACATAAGCAGGATGTGAACTTTGAGCAATGTTATGTTCCTATCCCCCTCCCTTACCTTGTTTGTGGAGAAAGCAAGGAGGTGTGGAAACCTTTAAGATCCTTTTAACTATGGAAACTGTTGAGGCTCACAAACAGCTCAATTAAAAAGTGGTGAGTGGTTCAATTCACGTTGGTGAAAAGAGCTGAGATTTGAAAACAGAGCAGTTGTGAGTAGGAAACTTGTAGAAGATGGCAATTATTCCAACCTAGGGCAAAAGGGTGTTGCTGCAATGTACAACCACAAAAACAATAGTTTACACATTTATTCCTCACGATTTCAGAGAAAATATTGTGCTTACGATGTGCTAGATATTTTTTAAAAAAATTAATAATGAAGAAGTACATTGAAGACATTGAAGTACAGTGGTACCTCGGGTTAAGTACTTATTTCGTTCCGGAGGTCCGTTCTTAACTTGAAACTGTTTTTAACCTGAAGCACTGCTTTAGTTAATGGGGCCTCCTGCTGCTGTCATGCCACTGGAGCACGATTTCTGTTCTCATCCTGAAGCAAAGTTCTTAACCAGAGGTACTATTTCTGTGTTAGTGGAGTCTGTAACCTGAAGCGTATGTAACCTGAAGCGTATGTAACCTGAGGTACCACTGTATTGCAGGAGCCTTGTGTTTTGTTCTGCCCGTTCCTTGGAAATTACTTGGAATAATATATGACAAATTAGATTGTAATCCTAATCCCATTTACCTGGGAGTAAGACCCATGAAATTAATAGGCATTGCTTCTGAGTAGACATGGCTGGGGTTGTACTATTAATGTCTCCCCCCCCCCCCCATTCCTCAGGCTGTAACTCAAATTTACATTTGGGACTCACTCTGGGATAAGCGTCTCCCCCCCGTTGACGTTCCCCATTCCCTTTACGACAGAGCCCCCCAAACCTGCAACAGAGCTTTCCGTACTTCTGCCTGAAGGCTACTCATTTTTCTAAATGATTCCGAAGCTCTATTCCTCATTGCAGGAACTGGATTAAAAAGCCCAGCGGGGAGAAAACCCATCTCCCTTTCCCACCCCCAATTCCCCAGAAGAGCTCCCTAGAAATGGAGGCTAGATGGATGGGACAGGCCCAGCATTCCAGCCCCGGCTTCTGTGATGTCATCAGCTTCTCAGGAAGGATGCATAGCAGGGAATCGTGCTGGATCATATCTGAAAATGGAGAGAACAAGCAGTAGGTGAGGCTCACACTGCTCGGAAGCTATGAATAGAACAGCACTGGTGGTGGGGTGGAGGGAGGCGGCAGCGGGAGGCACTGCCCCCCTCCATCCCCCCCCCAGCCCTGTTCACTCAGCACATACATTCACAGGCATTGCAGCACCTCCTAGCCTTCCCAGCTCTGACCTCTCTTTTTCTAACAGGCTCCCCCCTCCTCCTCCCATCCATTACTGGATCAAATAGCGAGAAGCAAGAGAGGCACCTGATGCCATTGAAATGCCAAGCAGAAGTTACTGGGGTAGAGCCTAGTCCTCAGACTGTGGGGGACAGAAAGTGGATTTAATCTGAAAAAGGCAGGCGGGCATAGAGGTGGTGGTCTTCTGTTAGGGTCTGCACAAGGCTGGATGTGGTCCAGCTGTTTCTCCAGGGATATCTTCAAGGTTGCTTCCGTTATGTTGCGTTTTGTGTTTCTGTTTTTCAAGTTTACATGGTGGGACTCGATGCAGCCAGTCTTTGAGCAGAGATGCATAGGATTGCACTGCTAAGGTGTCTTAGTTATATTTCCCCTTATTTACAAATACCGTATTTTTTGCTCTATAAGACTTTTTCCCTCCTAAAAAGTAAGGGGAAATGTGTGTGCGTCTTATGGAGCAAATGCAGGCTGCGCGGCTATCCCAGAAGCCAGAACAGCAAGAGGGATTGCTGCTTTCGCTGCGCAGCGATCCCTCTTGCTGTTCTGGCTTCTGAGATTCAGAATATATTTTTTTCTTGTTTTCCTCCTCCAAAAACTAGGTGTGTCTTATGGTCTTGTGCGTCTTATAGAGCGAAAAATACGGTATACAAGCAGAACTTAAGGGGAGGCCAGTGAGTGGCACTCCAGGGTTCTCCAGAGAGCAGCCTGGTCAACTCCTTGCAGAGTGCATGCCCAATTTCAGCAGGCTCCAAGTAGTCAATCAATCAATCAATCAATCAATCAATCAATCAACATTTGCCTCTTCCAAAACAGCCAGTTATTTCTCACCCATGCATACAGCTGCTCCCTCAGCTAGAGGTGTATCAACTTTTCCAAGCCCTGGTGGGTATCTTGTTCAGAAACACAGGGAGGTTTCCCAGCTTTCAGGAGACCCATCTCCTAACCATTATCTGTCACTAATTAAAAATAAACCAACTGATCCTCCTGCAAACGGCCTAAAAATGGTCGTCAGAGAGCCAGTGTAGTGTAGTGGTTGAGAGCGGTAGACTTGTAATCTGGGGAACCGGGTTCGCGTCTCCGCTCCTCCACATGCAGCTGCTGGGTGACCTTGGGCCAGTCACCCTTCTCTGAAGTCTCTCAGCCCCACTCACCTCACAGAGTGTTTGTTGTGGGGGAGGAAGGGAAAGGAGAATGTTAGCCGCTTTGAGACTTCTGAAGGGGAGTGAAAGGCGGGATATCAAATCCAAACTCTTCTTCTTCTTCTTCTTCGTCAGCATTCCATAGCTCATTTAACTTGCATTATGGCGTGTGCCAGGGTAAATGGTGGGATTTTTTTGTCAGCCACATACTCTCAAATAGAGGCCTGGTGACAACGGGGCATTTTCTACTATGGAACAGAATGTATGTTGGTGTTGCCTGGATTTTAAACCCAGCCTATCTTTTCTCCTGGCAGTGTGCAGTTGTACTACCTATGGTGCCAGTGCAACCCTGGAGGGCTGGATTGTGAACCTGCCAGTCCTTCAAGGGCCATTTGTTTAGTCGTTTAGTCGTGTCCGACTCTTTGGGACCCCATGGACCAGAGCACGCCAGGTACTCCTGTCTTCCACTGCCACCCGCAGTTTGGTAAAACTCATACTGGTAGCTTCGAGAACACTGTCCAACCATCTCGTCCTTTGTCGTCCCCTTCTCCTTGATCTTTCCCAACATCAGGGTCTTTTCCAGGGAGTCTTCTCTTCTCATGAGGTGGCCAAAGCATTGGAGTCTCAGCTTCACGATCTGTACTTCCAGTGAGCACTCAGGGCTGATTTCCTTAAGAATCGATCGGGTTGAACTTCTTGCAGTCCATGGGACTCTCAAGAGTCTCCTCCAGCACCATAATTCAAAAGCATCCATTCTTCGCCGATCAGCCTTCTTTATGGTCCAGCTCTCATTTCCATGCATCACTACTGGGAAAACCATAGCTTTAACTATACAGACCTTTGTTGGCAAGGTGATGTCTCTGCTTTTTAAGATGCTGTCATTGCTTTTCAAGGGCCATCGAAATCTTTTTAACCAGGGACACCCAATCAATGTGGGCCAAAAAGCAAGGCACGGGAAGGGCGGGGACTGAGTCCAGCCACTCCATGCAGGGTTCAGTACGCCACCCCTGACAGAGGCAGGTGCATGGTAGGTGCTTTGAGGCCAGGGTGCCCAGTGCTGATGTTGTTGTTTCCCTTGAGGCTTGGGGAAGGAGGAGGGAGAGAGGATGGGGCAGAGCTTGCCAGCAGGCAGGTGGCCAGCATGCAGGAGAAGCACATATGTGTGGGGTTGTAAGGGGACACCCGGCCTACTAAAGATAGGAACTGACAGCTGCAGCTTGGGCCAAGCATTGCCGCTGCGGGGCAGCGGGAGGGGGCAGCTCTCTGCAGCCTATCTTGTGCTGCCTGCGGTGTGCCTGGGCTTTTGCTTATACAGCTGACAGCTGACCAAGGCACCTGCTTCCAGGGCGGGTGGGGCCCTGGAGCAGCCAAGCCTCTGCCAGAGCATGAAATGCAAGGAACTGAGGGTCAAGCTACACGTTAAGGGCAGGGCTGGGGTTATTTTACACACATTGCCAGGGCAGGGCATGGGACCTCTAGTTTAAGCTTGGGACCCTAAAGGGGGAGGCAGGTTTTTTTTGGGGGGGAGGCTTTTGCCTAATCTGGATTGGGCTCCTTGTGTGTACAATTTGCAGGTGGGGCGGGCGGTTAGATGACAATTTATGCAGCCCCAGAAGCAGGGGCTTGCAGAGCCAGGCAGAGGTCCGGGCCAGGTAGATAATGTGCCCCCCACTTTTTTTACCCTGGGGATAACTGAAGTCTTATAAATTTCTTTTCTGCGAATTTTTGAATTACGCAGGAAAAATCAAGCAACTTCACCTTATCGTGCTATATGTTTATCATTGCTAAACCATTTAGGCGTTCTTGAGCCATTGTTGATTGAAAGAAAGACTAACCGGTAATTCGTTTTAATATATCGAAACTTCTCTCATTGGAGGCCACTGTAGCTGGTAATGATAAGAAAATGCGTAATGCAGTTAGAAGATTTGGAAAAACGTTTTCCAAATTCAAGTTTAGTATTTGATCAGCAATTGTGAATATGCTGACGGAGGCCCCCTTTGGAATCGGAGGCCCCCTCTGTCTGGGGCTGCCCAGGAGAAAGGACAAAAGAGGAGATGGATTTGAATAAATGTGCACGTGCTAATTTACACATGCATATGCAAATGTAGAAACAATTGCTTTAATTTAAGTACAGTAGATGACACAGTGGGGAAGAATGTCTGTGAACCCCTCTCAGATAGGCTCCTGCTTTCTCTCTTCTATGGTTCTTTATTTTTAAACTGGACTAGACACATATTCAAATAGAGAACGCCTTCAAAGGGAGAGCCATTCTTTGTAATGTAGGGCACATGGCCAGCAAACCTGGGGTGGGAATGGGTGCTAACTCCCATTTGCTTCCATGCAAGCAATTTTTTCATATGGCAATTGCAAGTGATGGGCGGTGATCCAAACCAGGATCATAGTAGGGGGATAAAGGGCTGAAGCCCTCTACTTCCCTATGCTAGGGTCCCAATCCAGATCCGAGTCCCAAGTGGTTTATTTTGTGTAAACCAGGGATGGGGAACCTTTGTTCCTCCAGATGTTGCCAAACTACAACTCCCATCAGCCCCAGCAAGCAAGGCCAATGGCTAGGGGTGATGGGAGTTATAGTTCAGTAACATCTGGAGGACCAAAGCTTTCTCATACCTGGTGTAAACAGGCATGTAAGCAACCCTGCACTTCAAGCAAGGGTGGGGAAACCTGTGATTGTTTCTGGATGGTGCTGGCCTTCAACTCTTATAATCATGCTGGATGGGGAATTGGAGTTCAATAATATCAGGAAGGCTTAAAGGTACAGCTATATAGTTAATGTAATGTGCTGTTTGCCCCCTCCCCCAAAACGCTAAGACTGGCCTTGCTGATAAGGGATAACCAGCCTCATAACCAACATGCTTAAATCTAGTTAATGCATGAAGGGGTTAACACCATAGAGTAAGCTGTCCTGCCAGGCTTAGAGAGAATACTTCCCTTTACCTCAAAGGAAATGAGTAATCAAGCCTATTGGTCAACCCCCAGTCCGGTTGAGAAGCTCAGTGTGTAAAGAGGTTTGAGCTGGTTGCTCCAGCTCAGACCACATGGCTCTCACAAGCCACTCTTGAGTTTCTATACCAATATTTCACCATTTTGTAACTAAGCCAAGCAACCTTTTCTGAAGCACATGAACCTGACCTTTGGAGAGTTTGTAAGTAAATCATTTTTTTAACTTACCAAAGTGTGGGCTTTTTCCTATGCTGGGGAAAGAAGGAAACTTTGCAACTCACAAGGTCTAGCAGCCTCTATTTCCACTCTTTACATTGCTGCATCTTTTGTGATTTTAAATCTCTGCTGGGGTTCTCTCACCAAAGAGTACTTGCCCCAAACTTGGATCTTGGCATCCAGGACTCCTTTTTAAACCTATTTTTTCTTTGAACCAACGGCTAGATCAAAGGTGCCAGGAGTCCAGCGACAAATCCCCAACTGCAAACAAGTAGACGCTTTGGTACACACAAGTTGGCCAAGAAGTTGTTCTCCTGACCACAACACTGGACAGTGAAAGGCTTAAAAAAATCGATTTATTTTGGTCACTGACCAGAGTGCAGGCTTGACATCCCTGCACCCTTCTGTTTTGCCCTCAAGGAGAAGGTCAGAGACATTCCTATATAGCTAATTGTCCAGTTCCTTTGTAAAGCCATCATCACCTTTCATGGGTTCCACAAAATCTTTTATGAAGTACTCTTATGTGTTCTGAAACTAACATGGTTTTGGAAATAGTTTTTTCTGTGATGGTCCACATAAACTCTGCCTGTCCTCTTCCACCAACAGAAACCCAGGATTTCTGTTATGTAAGTCCTAGCAGACAGCCAACTGCATGTTTCTTTTAAGAGCTGAGTCTCATTTCTGTATGCCCTTCAGTCTTAACGCTTAATAAACATCCTTTAAGTGAAGCTGTTGGGAGCGCTTGGTGTGTTGTGTAACACAGATACTGACCCACCCGCTAGCACTTCACTGCACTGTGATGTGTTATAATGCTTTTAAGGAATAACAAGTCAGGGCCTGGACTGGTAGTGGCTAGCAGACATGACAAGTGTCCCCTCACCCCTCTTTAGAATTTGTTTAGCTCTGCAGTAGGCCCAGCAGAGGGAATAATCGGGTTTGTTGGCAGGTAACAATGAACAGGACACACTTCCAAGCTGGTTCTTTGGCAAAGAGCAGGGGTCAGCAACCTTTTTCAGCCGTGGGCCGGTCCACCGTCCCTCAGACCATGTGGTGGGCCGGACTATATTTTGAAAAAAAATATGAACCAATTCCTATGTCCCACAAATAACCCAGAGGTGCATTTTCAATAAAAGCACACGTTCTGCTCATGTAAAAACACCAGGCGGGCCCCACAAATAAACCAGAGATGCGTTTTAAATAAAAGGGCACATTCTACTCATGTAAAAACACGCTGATTCCTGGACCGTCTGCAGGCCGGATTGGGAAGGCGATTGGGCTGCATCCAGCCCACGGGCCTTAGGTTGCCTACCCCTGGCAAAGAGACAGGTGAGGTGTGTGCCTGATCATCACAGCTGCATGTATGCAGGTGTATCTATTTATTTAAAGCACTTCGCTCTGATCTTTAGCTGAAAAAACTCCCAGTAGCTCACAAAGATTGGTGGTTAGATGGCTTGAAAAGGAAAGTTGGCAAATTCTTGGGAGGGTAGGTTTGCCAGTGGCTGTTGATGTTGGAGAGAACAATCAGGGGAAGGCTCTTCTTTCAGACCCTGCCTGTTGGCTTCCCAGAAACCCTGTTGGAAAAGGAATGCTGATCCAAACAGACCTTTGATCACGAATCTTTCTGGGCAGACGTCTCCTTCTGGGAACCAGCTACTCCCGAGCTTTCGGTTTTGTTTTATTGTAAGTTCTAAGATGAAAACACATGCACCGTCCTGGAATGAGGCCACCGACCCCTGGCTAAGGAAGCAGATTAATTGTTTTATACGTATGGAGTATATATGTGTGTATGCAGAAACAGTGTGGTGTAGTGGCTAGAGCTTGGGATTAGCGTACTCTTGAGTACCCACAGAAAAAAGCAGTAGGGGCATGCAGTTCACCCAAGCGTAATTGGAGTGCAGGCTTCCTCTGTGTAAAAGTTTGCTGTTGTTGTTTTGTTTTGAGGCTCAACACTTTAACGGGAAGATTTTTTTTAGTAAAGTGGAACCTTGGTGGTCGATTGCTTCAGAAGCTGAACAATTTGGAACCTGAAAATGAATGCTTCTGTTTTCAAACTCGCGTCGGAAGTTGAACGGCTTCCTAGGCACATTTCTCCATTTTTAAAAAAGGAATTTGGCGACTGACAATTGTGCCTCAGTTGTTTAACATTTCGGAAGTCGAAGGGTCTTCCGGACTGGGTTACTTTCAACAACTGGGGTTCCGCTGCATTGGTCCTTAACCATTGCCATTGTTATTTTGAGGTCCAACCCCTGGGAGAGATTATTAGAAGTAGTATTAGTATTTAAACATCAACATTATTATTTTGAGGCCCAATGCTTCAAAGGGAAGACTGCTGTTCATCGCCATCATTATTTGGAGGCCCAACGCACTAAAGGGAAGCTCTTCCTTTCTCTGCCTGGCCTTACAGAAGCCTCCCTTGTCCTCACCGGAGTATCTTTTGCCAGGCACCCCAGTTAGGCCTGAATGTTTCTACCTTCAGGAGGCCCTGGGACTGGCAGTGAATAAGCTTCTTTGGGCCTGGAGTGATGGAGGTCAGCAAGCCCTCACGAGTAGGGCACTCACGTGTCAAGGCAGCGGTACTGTTTGTCCGGGACTCCCGTTTACTCTGTCAACAGGATCAAAGGGCTTGTGTTTGACAAGTGGGAGGAGAGGACAGAGAAGGAAAACATGTCCTTTTGTCCCTCCCTCTGCCCCACAGCCATGGTCGGAGAGGCAAAACGAGAGTCAAGGTGGGAAGAAGAAGGAGAGGAGTGAAAAACACACCCAGATTAATGGTACTCCAAAACACAGCTGGAAAACAGGGCTGTCATTATATTATTATTTCCTGGCAGAGTTCCTGTGTCGTTATAATTGCAGCACGATAGGCGCTGTTTCACCAGCAATACAACTGTGTGCTAATAAAATCTGCGTTAAAGAGCCCTGCTTTGTGCAAGAGTAGCCGCCTGAGGTGGTACCCTTCAGCCCAAGTCAAGTACACAGTAGTACCTGAGGCTGTTGAGATATCCTGGCAACTGAGGCAAAGATTCCCGCTGGTTCACCTGCCCCTCCCTGGCCGTAAAAACACAGCAATAATAACAGAGGGATGTGTGTTTCTTTGAATAACCTCTCCCCACTTCTTTTAACGCCTGCCACCAGCGCTGCTTCCTCACTTTCTTGCTGGTGTTGGCATGGCCACCTAGTGGCAGCCATGCGAATTGAAGAGCGTGACGACAGCCTTAGATTGTTATGTATATAGGAAGATAAGACTGAATTATAGTGACAGTTTTATTAGCAATTCAAGGCCCGTGATCTGATGTGCTGCTAGTAGCTTGCAGCTGGAGCTGTGTTCAAGGCAAAGATCCATGAGCAAGCGAGACTCCACTGTGAACTCACCAACATCTCTTCTTCCAGAGTGTAGGAAATGTGGCATCATATTTTTCAGTGAGTCACATAGATACAGACACTTTAGGTACTTAGCCAGGGCACTTTTTCCATATTGCAGGGATGAGACAGCCCCTCATTTTGCCCTTCTGAGCTCTGGGTTGTCTTACTTCCACTGCTACAGAGTGCCAGAGAGGCCCCAGCTTCCCAATCTCTTATTTGGTCATTTGGCTGCGTTTCTCTCAACACGGTTCCCTTCTCTTGGCTGAGCTCCATGATTCGTTACAAATTACTCTGACAATAAAGGCTATCAGTTTAAAGAGTGTCTAAGCTCTTGAGATAGATACACGCGCAGCACGGAATGGAAGTTAAGCCTCAGTCATGTCTGCAGAGGAAATGATGTGGGGTACGAAAGCTTGCAAATATTTCTTGGTCCATTTAGAACCTTTTTGGCCCAGAAGGCCAGATCTTTTATCTCCTCCCACCGCACCGGCCAACTGTGACAGGTGGGCAGAGCCACCCACGTGTCAATCAACTCACATCACAAAGGCACCAGGCGACTGATAGGGGGATGGACTCGCCCACCTGTCAGATTTGACCCATGGAGGGAGGGAGGTCTGCTTTGCCAACACATTCCCCATAGGGAATGTGCTGGCTAGCCTGCCACTCATCAGCTGATGAGCAGAGTGTTCAGTCCTGCTCTGTGTAAGGGCCTGAGCAGCTGATGAGTGGTTAAATCCTGCTGCTTTGGCAGTGCACACCACTTCCCTGTGGGAATCTGGCTGACAGGTGGGTGCATTCAACATTAATGGGAATGCCACTCATCAGCTGACATCACCCAGTGTTTTTTGGGGGGGGCAGAGGTTCTCCAATTCTTGATTTACAGCATGAGGGGGAAACCTTTTTCCTGCTGAGAGCCACCTTCTTTTGCGAGGGTAATCTTCCAGGTGTTGCATGCCAGCTGTGCAGCCAGAGGCAGGGGCAACTAGGGCCAGCCACAAGTGTGTGGGGCCACTCCTTACTTCTCTGATACTCCCATTCAGTCCCTCTCTCTTCCTCCCCAGCAAGTCAGTGGAGAGAAAGATCACTCTGTGGCCAGAAGCTGAACTGATTCTTTGCAGAGAGCTTTTGAAATTGGGCTAAGGGCCGCATAAAATTAGGCCTGAGGGACACAAGATGCTCCATTTGGATTGCGATTTGGTCCCAACGTGTCACCCTCCCCACCAAAACACACTTCAGACGCATTCAACATATTGAGAAGTGGTAATAGTCAAATGATCTGAATTGGTGACCTATGTTACGTAACGGAGAATTAAATTAGAACTACACATTATGCTGCAGGGATGGGGTTTCCAACCCTGTGACTGCTGCAGGCGGGGGGCACTAATGCTTGGGCTGGCCTGAGAGCAAAGTGCTGCCTTCCCACCCAAGTCAAGGGACATAGTATCTCATGCTGGTCAAGTTCTCTGGGCCCCTGGGGCGGAAACTGTTTTGGCAGCTGAGGCAAGACAGTAAAGCACCTCTTCCCACTCCCTTATCAGGCAATATTGTAAGATGCATTAAAGGACAACGATTTGGCGCCCTCTGTGACGCCCAGAACCACTGTCTCAGGGGCAGATGTCTCACTCTGCCTAATGGTAGGGACAACTCTCAATCTAACGTGAAGGCAACAGAGGTACTGGCAGGGGAGCTTCAGTGAGCAGGAAATGGGGTGATGAACTCTTCTCTTGTACCAGGTTTCCAACTGTTCTCCACCTTCCGCCAATCTGGGTGCCAAGGCTGGCAATGGGCCTGGTTGCTGGGGCACAGCTTGAAGGTATGGGTTGTGGGGAGCAAGGGAAGCATGAAGTATCCATTCCCTATGAACACACCCACAGCCCACATTAGCCTTTCCCTGTATATATGGGTTAGGTTGCCAAGGCAGTGTTCTGTTCCCACCTTAGCCACCTGCCCATTGTTGCTGATGAAGATCTTTGCCTGACCTGAAATCTTGCAAGCACCTACGCCAGTTTTCTCTAATAGATGGCTATGCCGCCCTAAGGTACATAGCAGCCCACAGTGAAAAAGACCCCAGAATAAATCTTGTGTTGTTGGTCAGATGGTGGTGAGAGCAGGGTCCACAGAATATGCCCTGGGATGGCACGTCTGCCTGGCAGTGCCCTTTCGCTCTCAGTAAGGGCAAGATTGCCCTCTGGTGGTGATGTAGCACACCAGGGGTGGCCCAGGTCTCAACCCTGCCCTTTTTGGGGAGGGGCCAGTGCATGCCACACACTGTTGTAAGACACTTAATTCCTGTCGATGTCAACAGCGGCTTAGGAAGGCTTTCCCGGTTACATAAATGATGGGCTCCTGCAGTTCAACCACATTGTTT